GCGATCTCCCCTGAAAGGGTGTTCTGTAGAGATACTTTGGGCTAGCACCGGCTTTGAGCAACCAACGGTCAGTCTGTAAAGCCACCATCCCCAGGCAGGCGGGGTGCAGGGGCAGGAAGGTGCAACAAGAGCCTTCAAGACTCCAAAGGCGGCAACTGATCGCAAGAACACTTTCCTCTCTCTGTACATTTCGCCGGTAGCCGAAAGGGATCACTGCCTTTTGCCGTGGCTGGGCTGGCCTCTGGTTCTGCAGAGACCAGGATTACTTCCCATGACTTCGCCGGAGGCCTGGCAAGGAGCATAACTGAACATAGACAGAGCTAGGCCTCCGGGTAGTAGTCATGTGATGGCATCCTTGGGCAGAAACCAGACGCAGTGCGTGGTCAGTCTCGGCTTGGTGCTAACCCCGGTCTTGACTGTGGCAGGCGGGGGTTTGGTTGACTTAACCTGATCTTTGCAAATCCCTGCAGAGATGCCGATCTCAAAAGACCCTGACGTCTGCCCACTGCCACATGTGATCCGACAACGGCCGCGAAGGGCATGTATGAGCGTTCCTCTGAAGGTCTCTTCAGGTACTCGTACTCATGTTTCATGTCGTGCTTGACTCTTCTCTTCTTCATTCGAGACAGGTGCGCAACGGATCTCAGAACGAGTCGGTGCAGCAACTTATGTCAATTAAAGACCTCTGGTGGTATTGAGTATTGAGTATGGGGGGGTAATTATTGATGCCACGGCCTAAGAATGCCTTCTGACCGCGAATATGTGCCTTTCGCAAGCCGTCGTCGGAGGACCCTCAGTTGTTCCGAGATTTTGGCACAGATTGGACGGGTTTGGCCGGCAGCCTGTTCGGACGCACTCAGACGGGTCATAGAACAAGTTCAGTACGGGAGGAAGCTCATTGTCGGGAATTCTTGGAGCGTTCTGAACCGGAGTTCTGGCAAGTAGAAGAGCCCCGACACTGTGCACTGCATGTTCAGTTGAAGTCAAGCCGTTGAAGATTACACGCTGCATAAACGGCCAGCGTGAAGATGATGTGAAGTATTTCAGAGAGAAAAAAGCTCGCTGGCCATGATGGAGTGATTTGGCACCTTCATATACATGAACCCATGGCGATCCATATCAAGCAGCTCTGAAGACCTTTGTGGTGGTATTTCGACACTCTGTCCTGTCGACGCGTGTCCACAGGTTGCCCAGCAGCAATCGGACAGTGTCGTCATCCAGAACGCGCCTGCCATGGCCTTGTATGGTCTAATCTTATACATGTACGACGCAGTGGCTTCGCTGAGATTCGGACTAGGCTGCCTAGGCGTATGTGCGATTGTAGATGCCTGAGGCGAGATAGGTGTGGAACAATCAGCACTCCAGCTCTAGCTGACTCCAGCTCGCGTTAGACAGGCCCGCCTATTCGTGCAGTGGCTGGTGCAAAGTGCAGTTCCCACTGAAGTTGCGTAAGACGATCCCCGCAGTTTTCTGTGCTCTGGTCCAGACAAGGTTGTGATCCACCTGATTGTGGTGAGCCTCATGGAGAGGCTCACTTTGGCTGAACTCTTGTACTGGCTTGCTGCATTCTTCGGGATTTTGAGTGCAGGCTGTACCAAAAGGGGGTGTCCTCGTCGGTGCATATGGAAGGTCACGTCAGAGACCTGGCTGTGAAAACCGCGTAGGGCTTCTTGATCATCTGACCAACCGCGGCATGTGTGTACCAGAATACGATATAATATCGACGTATGCTCAGGTCTCGTATGCGGAGCATTTGAAGTCGCTTATTTCGAAGGTGCATTGCATTGCAGTACTTGCCCATGACGAATGTTGCTTTAACTGGCTGAACGGCAGACGCTCTTCTTTCAGCTGGTCAACTATTTGGGTGCCAGCCCAAGATGACAGCAAGTCGTACCGATTCCTGATGATGAGCAAATGCGCCGCTGACTCTCTCAGCTGCGCCTCCATAAAGCATCCTTAAAGCACCAGAGGCGTGTCACGGGAATCTGTGTGGCAAAGTCACGATCGGATTCATGTCGCCAAGGTGGCCTTTAGGCAGCAGCTCTCATGGTTTAGTTGTGGCACCACCCCTAGACAAATCTATGGAGCTTTGTCATAATCCGAGGTTGGTTCTTGTATGTGGCCTTTTGCATCCAAGACTTGGAATACCTCAGGCTCGGTCGGTTTGGCACATCGTAGCATGACGTGTGAGTGTTACTGTAGTGGGGAGGGGGCTGGAGCTAGATGCATCACGTCTCCACTTGTCAAGTTCTTTGCAGATCGCAGCTCCTCAGCTTCATGACCGTGAAACAGGCTGTTTCAATCCGCTTCCTTCGCATCCCTGTCCATGCAGCTACAGTCTGACCAGCCATCGCAAGGAAGAAGGTGCAGGAGAGGTTCGCACCTGTTCCAGTTTCCCCTTGCAAGTTTCTACCGTTACAAGCTTCTCTCGTTTGCAGCTCCTCAGCAAAGCTGATAACCGCGACTCGTAGCAAAGATGACTCTGCTGTGATGAAGGTAAGGTAGCCAGTAAGAGTTCGGGGCGACTTCCATGCAGGAAGGCCAGCAATGCCGATGCTGTGGGTCGTTGCAGTTGCACAAGAAGTGCTTCTGCCAGTCGGCAGCTTAGCCACCTCTTCATGTGCCGAAGAACTCATGCTTACTTCGACAGCAGCCTGGCTTAAGTCACCCTGACAGCGTGCTTAGGTCATACTGCAAAGATTCAGACGCTGGCAGGCTGTGAATGCCGTCATCAGATGGATACAAAATAGAATCAGCATCGTCAACCACTCTCCCTGCCTCTGCGGCTTGTACTTTCTCAGCAGCCGGCAGGGAAAAGCAGCTCAACCTTCCAGCAAGGAGCCAGACGTGGGATGCTAAGACATAGTTCCATGGTAGCTGAGAGTCTGAGAGTCTAGGTGTTGGCTTTGACTGCCAGGCACAGACGTCTTCGGCAGCTGCGCCTAAGACCAGAAGGAGCGGACCTAAGTGAAGCGAAGCTTGCAGCTTCTCGGGGGGCAGACTCTTGACCCGCAGGTGCGCCTCTTTGCGTCGGCTTGGTACTCATGCAGTACTGGGCGATGTGCGAGGCTTAGGGTTTGTCAATGCAGCTGTGGATCGCAAGATCGTTTGCCGTCGTGCTCCTGAGCCGCCACACGCACCAGGTTGCTTTCAGAGTGCAGGATTCAAGCCTGCTTAGGAGGCATGTTTAGCTTTGGTTAGACTCAGACGCTGTGACTGCCAAGGGCACCTCACTGGAGAAGGATGTTGGCCGGCAGTTGGCTCTTGCTCCTCGGCAGATGAAGATGATGGATCTTGGTATTGGTATCTTGTGGTGGAGCATGATATAGAATCAGTCCCCGTGCAGGACAAGACGGACCTCTGCACCGAGTACCAGCAGCTTGTCGTGCTCTTTGCGCTTACGAGCTCCTTTGCTGTCCAGTCCCGAGACCTTGACTTCTGGTTCTCACCAACTGAGCATGTTCGGGGCTGTAGCTCTGCAACTGTGCTGACAGATCGCCTTTCCTTGCGGCCCGTTGCTGGCGCTACTGCACAGCTACGTTTCGAGGCTGGGCACAGACATGGAACTGACTACATGATGGGTTTCAAGGTCCAAGGAAGGGTGCATGGCGTGGGAGGCAAGCATGTGTGGGATGCTAATTGAGCACCCTTTCTCTCGTCATGCCCGGGACTATTATTGGGCCAGTTGCAGTTGGTTGAGCTAGAGAGAGAGAGAGAGAGAGAGAGAGAGAGAGAGAGAGAGAGAGAGAGAGAGAGCTGTCACATGCTTTCAGGCGAACAGATGGTTACAAGTTCCTGATGGTGCGCAGCGAGCTCGTGCAGCTTCCATGCCGTGACATGCATCCCATTGAGCATGTCAAGAACACCGGTATCACTGGTCATCTGCCGAACATGCTGTGTGGCCTGTAAAAGTCAACTAAGATTAGTCAAGCACTTGTGGTGTGTGGTCTTATGGAGGAACGTGAAAGCGCGGAGCCTTTGTTCTGCATTGGGGTACGGATAGAGATGGCAGGTCAACATGCTCTCGGCGCCCAGTGCAGCAGATGGAGTAAGCCGGCACAGAACTCGCACTGCATGTCAGTGTCAAGAGTCAAGGGTCGACCTGTCGCTCAAGACTCAGCCGTGTCAGACCTTGCCAGGTCATCTCGGATACCTGGGTAGAAGTTCTTGAGGATCAGACCTCGGCTGTTGTCATCCAACCTCGTGTCTTGAAGGGTCCCAGCTCAAGATTGCACTTATCAGACAGCGAAAACCGAGCACTCGCCATGTGCACACCGTGGGCCATCAAGTATGCGTGCAGTCGGGCATCACCATCGTGCAGTGTAGACGTAGTACGACCCTCAGTGGAGTGGAGTAACTACCCGCGAGAGGCCCTCTCGATTGTGTCAGTGGTGTGCAACGTCGCCGTGCTCGCGGTCTCTGGAAGCAGGCAGGTTGCACTGTGGGAGTCGTATACTTTGTTTCAGGTATTCATGGTAAGGAAATGAAAATTGGGACACCAAAGTTGAACAAACAAATCAGTCAGTGTGCAACCGAATACATCATCATGCCTATACTGCTGTGTTATGTCGGGCTCACTCAGTCTGCAATGTCTCTCTTCCGACATACTCATGCAATGCTAGCTTCTTTTGGTCGGCTAGGTCTTGCTTTGCATCTGCGTTCATACTTGGCCTCACAAGCTGGAGCATGCGCTGCTCATCTTCAAGGTGGGGCATGCTCGCAGAGCCCAATTCAGATTCAGCAACCTGAGGAGTGTTGCTGCTGTTGTTGCATGATATGTTGGCACTAGGACGGCATTGGTTGTGGTGAAAGAATTAGTTATTCTTCCCTTGCTTTGTTTCTCAGCATGGAGTGGCTCAAGCTTGGGATTCAGCCGCATTTGGGTCTATCAGCCGAGCAGGCAAGTGTTTGCAGCAGCATCATGGCCGAATCAGGGAGCATAGCTTGCGGAAAACCGGAACTGGGCCTCGTCGTGTGCTCCCTGATCCTCTCCAAGATGAATGCAGAGCCGGATCAGCATTGGAAGGAGGCACGGCACAGGCCAGAAGATCAGTCAGAGATGTGCTGGTCGTTCCGCCGGCCTCCAGGCTCCTAACTACGTTCCACCGTTCAGATCTCGGACCTCGTCGAATCAGCTCTGCGCTCTTTGGAGTGTTGATCAGGCCAGTGCCACTGGTACCGTGCCTGGCCGTTGGGCCACCAATCTGGGGCTGCCAGCAATGGATGCAAGTGGCGCCGGGAGTGTGGCATGCGCCTCAGTCTGTGTGCAAAGTCCTGCTTGGCTCAAGGCAAATAGTTGTGTCACAGTGTTCCCAACAGAGGTGTGGAATGTATGTCGAGCCTTCAGTATGTTTTCCTGCAGGCAGGGCCGGGTGTCCGACTATCAGTCGCAAGTTATACAACTGAGAGCATTCAAGGCTTAATGTGCAGAATGATGCAGATGCATCAGAGCACAGGGTGTGGATTCATTGGTGCCTTGTGCAAGGCGATCCCTGGTGTGGAGGCTTCTCCTTTGCCGAAGATGAACTCTGTTCCTGCAGCCTGCCTCATCCCGAACGATGAGACTGGAAGCACGGACATCACGGACCAGGACCTCTCTGTCCTGCTAGGGCCCTTCATCAACATCTTGGGCACTGCCAAGATTGTCTAGACTCGCGGCAAGCCGCCAGGAGGAACTTGCCGGCTTGGATGCAGGGACGGCATCGAGCACCACTTGGGAGGACGTAAGTTTAGGGAGCTGTGAGCTCTCTGGGTCGTGTTCCTCGGGGCCCTCGAGCCTGGCCCGCGACCAGGACGACCCCGAAGTCGCCTGCTTGCATTGTCAGCTTTCAACCGATCAGAGGCCTTGCAGCGTAGAGATATCCGAGGTTGAGCTCCGAGGGCTGCCTTTTTCAACAACCCTGCAGGCAGGAAATTCAATGTGAAGATGCTTGCAGCAGCAACTCGGTTGTGCTACAAGGAGATGCGGGGGTTCCTCAAAGAGCATGCTACGTAGTTGGCAGCGCTGAGCTCAGTGGACATGATCTGACTTGGAGCTGACCCGGAATACTTCATGGTCTCGAGATGCAATGCTAGGATACTGGAATTGCCCTCAGCGCCTGCTGCTGAGCAGGTGACTTGCACGTTTGTACACTGCTTTCCGTGTGTTGCAAGTGGTTGCAGGTGGTCTGCACATTTTCCATAATATGGTTCATGTGCATGCACGCGATCCACTGTGTGGCTTGCCGAGCACAGGTTATGAGGGATTTACGCCCCTCTGGAATCGCAAATGTCCACTTTCGCACGAAGGAGGTGCGGGAACTGGAACAGCTGTTCGGAAGAGTTCTGTGCAACTCCACGAATGCTGCATATAGTTTGTAGATCCCTGCAGGCCTCGCTTCGTGCCATTGATGCGCTTCACATGAAAGAACTTGGCGGCCGGTACATCGAGGCCAGCTGCCAACTGTCAAGGCTCAAGGGTCGAGAAGCGACGGACCGACGCAAGATGGTCTACATGATCAGGTTGGCTTCCGGGCGGAACGACTGCAGGCGCGAAAGCAGAAAGCTCGGAGCACAGCGGCTGAACGTGAGGAGCCGCATCTCGCGCTGATGTATGTGTCGGAGACGGCGCAGTTTTGTCGGTCCGGCATCCTGTAGGAGTCGCCGGTGACGCCGCGCTGCAAAACGCCCGCCTTTATTCTGAGGCCCACCCGCAGGGATGCACTATCCACCACGTACTTAGACGAGAAGTTCGGTGGCAAAGCACAGAAGCCTGTATGCCAGTACCAAGCCGCGAGGACACCTTCGCCGCCGCGATTCTGGAAGCAGGAGCCAGACGGAGCAGTTCTCATCGCAGTCACGGAGCTGCATAAGCCCGAAGCGCCTGCACACCGTAACGTAGGCATCACGCTTGTTCACAGGAGTTTTACCAAGACGCATCCTCCTTTCTCGGAGCCATGAAAGCAACAGGAGCTTCCGATCGTCAGGGCAAGATTGAAAGACAGGTTCAAGACTCAGACAGGGCCTTCCTCTGTCCAGGAGAATCTCTGGCGCCGGAAGTTTGCGTGAAGGTGCAGCTGCAAATGTCATCACTTGTCTCGTATCAAGACTCGGGGTCCGAGTTGTGTCCTGACGGGAGCATTCGGAGCATTCGGAGCATTCGGATCCGACAGGTAGAGAAGTTGGCCGCTGCAGCAAACATCAGCCATGGTCGCACATGGCTCGTTGCCCACGCTCTTAGGTGCCGCCGGTGCTGTCGTCGATGGATCTAAGGAACCCAATGCCAAAGCCGAGTCTGCACCAACTCAGGAAGTCATGGTCACAGAGGATCAGAAGAGAGCGTGTGCCGCCATCCACTCCTCGCAGATTTACGCTTGCTTAAATTGTGGGACCACGCTGGCCGAGAAGTCCACCCAGCTGCGTCATCGCAATTTCTCGGAAGTTGGCACCATTGTTGACAAAGACGGCATGGGGTAGCCTTCAGTATCGGCATATATGCTACGCAACAAAAAAGACGATGGCCGTGGACTGTCTGGGGGTAGAGCTGCTACGATGTCCGACATCGAGATGTTTCAGCGTGACAACATTTTCTTTTGTGGCCTGCTCGGCAGCCTGTGTGGTAGTGCTTGGAATGCCAATATTTGCCTCAGCTCTTGTTGCACCTATGCCCGTGCCTGCTGTGCAGCGGACGTGGCAGACGAGTCGCTAGTGAGTTCAACTTTGGATGATGCATTCTTCGATGAAATTTTCAACAAGCATTTTGGGGGCACGCTGCTTCGTGCACCGTCCCCGCACGAAGACACCTTCGGATTGGAGAATGCAGTTGTTTGCGATCTCCAAGAGTGTCTCGTGGATCTCGAACTGAGGCAGGGCCGCCTTTTTCAGCCTTGTAAGGTTTTCTTCAGGCAAGATGAGAAGCTTGGTCTCCTTGTCGAAGCTATTGCGTTAATGGACAGCGAGAGCGCGCAGCCTGCGCTTTACCAGAAGCAGACTTCTTCCCTTAACGAATGGCTGTGGGCAAAGCGCATCGCGGTTGCCGGGGCGGTTCAGCGCCACCAGTTCGAAGAGCACCTGATGCTTGGCCACATGGTCATGGAGACCTTCGTTGCGCTTGCCTATAAGCATTTGACTGCAGATCACTATGTCTTCAAGCTATTGGGGCCAATGTGCAGCGATGTGGGCTTCTTGAACCGCTCCTGGGGACTAGACCTTCTGTTGACCAGCAAAGGAGCACCCTACGGATCCTTCCTTAAGTTCATCTCACCGAAGTCAATGCTCTCCAGGAGCGGCTTGATCCAGCAACTCATGCGAGCACGGGAGCGTTTCGACCCTCGGTCCTGGTTTTGGTTTGACCAAGGAGGCTACATGAAGGGAGGTTCCGGAGTCAAGGAGTCCACAGCGTTTCCTGTGCGGGACACAGCCGAGAAGCTCTTTGATGCGATGCTGCTCTGGACAAGCGCCGTGGTCGATACTTACTGGGAGGAGCAGGATGAAGCGCTCCAGTCTTGGTGGGAGGCACTCTGGTGGAACCCGATGAAGCTGGCAAAGCGGAAGCTTTCTCAAGACACTTTGTCGCACCTGCTTGCCACTTGTATTCTGCAGGCCACCTATGTGCACGATTTAGCCCATGAGGCTTGGTTGCATGAGAACCACTCTCAGCTAACCTGGACCTTGAGAGACCAGGCGCCAGGATCGACTGATCCCAGGGATTACTTGCCTTCCGCAAAAGAGCAAACCCTCCACCACTTGGGGCTCATGGCTCTCAATGGATCCAGCCTTGAAAGCCCCATTCTGTCTTATCGAAAGGTTTTCCCAAAGGAGAGCCTCCAGCAACAGTTGAAGACTTTCGAAGACAGCCTTACACGAATCGTCCTTGCCACGCCTTACGTGAAGAGCCTTGGCAGTATGTCTCACTGACAAATTTTGTCGTCAAGCGCGGCACCAGCCCGGAAACGACGAACCAGTGATCCGCTGGTCCGCTGTAAGCGGCACAAGGTCCGCACTTTCTCTTGCATTTTACATGCGACCGAACGCGGCCCAAGGTGGCCGCAGTGCTGGCAAATGAATGCAAATGAGAGCTTACGCTGAGATCAAAGAATGGCATCGTTGCTTTCATCAGTACATCCGTCTTCTGCTTCTGATTTCCAGCCTCAGTTTCCTTGCTGTGGCCAGGCGCCATACCCAACAGCTCTACCTTCAGTTGAAGGCCCGCCATTGCCTGTAACTTGCCAGCAAGATCCGCGTCGCCGAAGCAGATTTCAAGACAAGCATTTTCGTCCGCTACTGTAGCCTGGGGTGGCTGCTGAGATCCTCGTAGTCACCCTGCATGGCCGGTGCACTGCATGGATACGCCAGGCCGCGACTCAATGAACTCTGCCCATCGCTCTGCCTGCCCAGATTCCAGATCTCAACACTTCGGCTCACAAAGCAAGTCTGAGTCTTGCGGCGTCCTTGCTGAGCCAGATGTAAGGCTCTGAGCAGAGCTCGCCTACGGAGCTACAGGCGGAAACAATGCCGCACAGCAGATCGTCCACTGACACCATCTCGGTATGTCTTGCAGCTGGACTCGTTTCGCATCCATTCCAAGGCGGTGCAACCATTCATGAGAACACAGGGGCTGTCCAACTCCGTTCGATAATGCATCAGGTACTCGTAAACCATCCTAACACATCGTAAACGTCATGTGACACGACATTCTGGCCATGCAACAAGTTGTCTGCACGGCGATGCTCGCCATACCGCACCAGGAGGGCACAGACGATGCCACTGCGACAGTGCCTGGTTCACTTGTCGAAGACACTGTGCGCCTTGAACCCAGCGAGCTCGCAAAGTTACGGCGTAGAAGGCAAACATGGCTGCCGAGCATGAGCTTGCCATGATCCCGCGTCGGAGCGGACTTTCAATATGTCTGAGTTTCAGAACATCTTCTAACTTACGGTGCTGGAGTTGTGCAATCAGCCAACATTGGCAGGCACCGCTGTGATATGAAAGTCAGTCTGCTTAGGTGGTTTAGTAGTGTTCTTTCCTGCTCGGCTCGCCCATCCTAAGTAGATGCCCGAAGTGCCATTCAGGAAATGAGAGATTCTGCCAAGGCTGGGCAAGACAGGAAGTACTTCTGAGACGCTCAGAACTCGAGGTTCCCTGGGCCTGGTTTGGTGTTTGAGTGTGGCTCTTTGCTGCTTGTTCGCAACAGCAGCGTGGAGCAAATGCTGCAGCAACTGTGGCTGGAGCTTGGGACGGCAGTCATGTGTCTGCATTGTGCTATGAATGGTTGCATTGCGGGCTCTGCAACTTGCAAGACTAAGATCCCTGCTGCAGGCGTCCATAGCTTCTAGCTGAGCTGAGCATATGTTTACATATTAGTAAATTACCAGCCTTCGCCGTCGGCACCTCGGAAGAATCTCAACGGCCACCGCCTTTTCCTTGTGTGAGGTCCGGCTCCCAGACTTGTTGAAAAGCATCAGTATATCAGTACAAGCGATCAGGTCCGCTTGATCAGCACATCTGCATGGCGCATGATAGTGTTTGTGGTCAGATTTTAAAAAACGTTTGGGCCGGCTGACCGAGTTTGCAACCTTGGAACATACAAGGCCAGTCCAGCACCCGGGCATATGGCCAACGCCGAAGAATGCTACTATGCTCCGGTGGCAGGCTCCAAACATGTCATTTTTGGGTCATGCCATTACAGTATACAGTCGCACAGGTTCAGTTGTCGTGGTTCTGCGGGCTGCGGCAAGTGGGATGCTTTAATCAAGCTTTGTTCCTTTCCTGGCCCAGGCGACGAGGACGGTGCAGACCAAGGACCGGCTCATCCGGATCATCTCTCCACGGACTAGCAGATTTCAAAAGTTGTGCACTTGGCAACCCCCGTGCTGTGCGGCAGGCGTTGCAAGATGTGCGTGCAAAGGCGACAGCCGCATCCGATGCCAAGAGCAGGAGTGGATGCTGTTGGGTCTGAACAGGGCGCCATGAGGGTGTTTGCATGTGCTTCCAGGCGTGGCCTTGCCGCCCTCCTCCGCAGCTTCGCCGAGCGTCGGCTCCGTGGACAGAGCGCTGTGTCGAAGGCTTCGAAGAGCGGAGGCGAGTCGAGGCGAGTTGTCTCTGCTGTGAGGCCGTCTCGGCTCTTGGCACGGAGCGAAGGCAGCGGCACTCTCCTTGTCAGAGTGTTAGGCGACACTTGACATTCTCTGTTCAGGTGGATGGATGCGCTTCATCTGTTTACGACTGTGCCTCATCCCGACATCGTCACGTTCAACGCGACAATGATGCTTACCTAAACGCCTTAGCCTGCAGGAAAGCAGAAGTCTGATTGCTCGGCCGGTGCAATGATACTTCCACAACCGTCGGGTTGTGTCGCGTCATTGAATACAGTCTGATCTTGGCTCGGCTTTGTGGCTGGACTAGCTGCTAGATGCAACTGAGTCCGAACTCCCTGCAGCTTTGGCTGAGTATTCGTAGACAAGCAAACTACACAGCCGTTTGATCCCAGCTGAACGTTGGCAAGGCTGTAGAAGCGAAGATAATTGAAGTACAGACTCAGCCCAATCGAGTGTCGACTGGGCGTTCCTTCCCGTCAAGGACCCGACATCGGTGCAGGTCACAGGGGAAGTGTTCTTCGAGGAAGCGCGCCAGTCGCTCCCGTCGAAATGCAGAAAGAACTGTTCGGTTACGAAACACTGTCGCAAAAGGAATGCTTCGGCTTCGAAATCCGTGGCCTTCGACCCGTTTGCGTCTTCGGGACGACTTGCCGAGGAGCGCTCTCGGTTCAGGGCATCAGTGGCTAAAGGCCTGGGGCAGTCCTCTCATGCTGGGCTGGTGCTAGCAATTTGGCACGGGTACCGGGTACATGCTCCAACTTCTTGAGACTGCTTGCAGACCCTGCGACTTTTCGGCGAGATTCGCGGAGATTCACAAGGCTCGCGGTGTGTCCTGCGTCGAGAGAGTCCACACAAAGTCCCACTGGCATGCTGGCGATTCGTGCAGGTGCATTGCTGAAGGCTGACGTGATTTCGTTACCTGGCTTTCAAGCTCTTGGTTCCAGACGTCGCACTCCCGCTTGCTAATTTTTAAGAAGCCACGTGGCAGGGTGCGCCAGGTTCCTTTCGAAGGACTGCTGCAACATGTCTGAAGTTTGGCAGTGTAATCGGCAGGCCATATGTGCTTCCCAGGTACAGCAATGCCATTCGGGCCAATGCAGCATTGCTGCTGTGGGAGGAGGCGAAACCTCGTTCGGCTATTGCTGCTTGATGTCGCCCTGGGCAGATCTTGGCAAGGCTGTGCATCTGCTGACGCACATGATCTCTTTCGGACCTGAGCCGGATCGGCTGGCGCGGCGCAGCAGCAATCAGCAGTGCAGCGGATGGTGACGCCTGGTGAATGAATGGAGGGAACTGCTCCGCTTCACAGCTGAGGTGCAACCTGACCCTCGCCACATGTGCAGAGCATGGCAAAGCACATCTCGCTGCCAGCATCGTGGCATCTCTGGTGCATTTGAGACAGGTTGGAACTGTCTTAATTTTGTCTCAAGGCCAAGCCCATGGCATCCCATAGATTGATCACAGGATGTTTGCTGGATGTGGCCGAGCCCAGCTATGAGAACAGACAAAGTTGCGTCAGCAGAAGTGTCACACGTTTATGGCGGCATGCCAAGGAACGGATGCGGACACGTCGTCAGCAGCTGGCACGGCATGGCAGTCTTCCCACTGTCTGCCCTGAAGGCGTCAACTCCAAGTACCATAGGGAAGCATTGCACTTGGAGAGGTGGCAGCCGTGCAGCTAGCACCATTACTGCAGGACAGCAGACCGAAGAGCAGGAAGAGGCCTGCCGACAGCGTTTCAATCATAGTCAGTCGGGTTTGCAACTTACGAAGTCGATGGTTCGTGCAACTTTCGATTACCGGCTACCAGACCTTGAAACAGCAACAGTTTCTTTAATTTGCCCCATGGTGCCCAGCACATTGGAAGCGGGGCCGGAACTTCCGGTGCTGGACCTGCCAAAGAGCATATGATAGCATGTGTGTTGGACAGAACAGCTTATGACAGCGGATCTTCCCGGGCTTTCAAACGACGCACATACATGTTGGTTTGGTTTTTTGCACGAAGACGTTAGGATGGCATCCCTTCACTGCAACTGCTTCTACGCCTGAAGTAGTGGCGCAATGCCATAGGAAGATGCTTCTGATGACTGTGTGTCAGCAAGCATCCTATCAACAAGCGTGCCGACGACGCATACGCCATCAAGTCACAGGAAGCATTGCAACGCCATATCTTGGACATGAGCGTGTAACTTCCGCGGCGAAAGCAAAGACGCCATGATCTTGCATTGGAGTCAGCAGATTCGCAGGAAGTCCGAGGGCAAAAGAAGGGGCTAACGCTGTTCCAGGGTTTTCCAAACTGCAGGGTCCCTTACTGCCGATTCCTAGCAGTAAGGAACTAACTAACTGTCAGAGTGTCTTTTCGGCTTACGGTCAGTTCGGCAGGCTTTCGTTTGCTTGTTGCAGCAAACATGGCTTATTTATGAAAAGAATCGGCGGAACAGAGGCTTGGCCCAGTGCTGGCAGAACATTGAAAATTGTTTCTGTTTGTCTAGAGTTGCCTGAATGTTTTCCTTCTACCAACATACCGGAAGGCTGGTCACATTGGCCAAATGTGCGGCGAACATGACTTGATATGCGAGAAGCATCCACTTTCGTGCTTGCAGAAACATCATGCCGGGTTACCGGGGATCTCCGTGTGCAGGACGCTTTCCCGCCGGCATCCAGGCCTATGGCGGTGAGACCACCAGCTGGATCAGGAGATGGGTGCAGGTGTCTCTGAAATCACGATGCCGATGATGCGGATGGTCATGGTGGTGATGAGGAGTGGCACGACGATGATTCTGATGATGGTCGTTCGGCGATGCTGTTGGTGATGGCATGTTGTGGTTGTGGTTGCGACAGCAACTCGAACGATTCAAGCTTGGAAGGATTGGCAGCAGCTTGCAGGCGCCGTCTGGTAAGCACAGGCGAGTGGTACTGCTGCAGTGAAATGCATTGCATCTTATGTTTGGTGGACTCGACTGCTAGACAACCTGCCCAAGCACGGATTCGGGCTGCATGTAGGAAGACTCTCTTGGTGGTCAATTGCCTTGGGGCTGCAGCATTGCAACCCGAAGCCCTGTAGGTCTGATGGAGCGATGCGAGCAGCAAAGCGCCGCCATCGAGGTGGGCCTTGTCTTTGCTTTGTTGAATAGCGGTTGGCAAAATTTATCCAGATAGTGCAGGAGCCTTAATAAGTAGCATAAGTTTTGGGTGCCCACTAAACTATATTATGATGTAGGCCCCTATATGATTGTGCCTGGATGTTTTGCTCTTCCGAGGATCGACGGCCGTGCACAAAGCTGGCCACCGCCACGCACCCTGCCGTCATTCTAGCACCATCTCGACTCCGTCGTGTTCCAAGGTCTCCAGCTTGCCAGCTACATCTCTCGACCCGAACAAGGCTGGACCGCTCTCAACAGGACGACTTTTCAAGCCTCCTCTGCAGCAGCTTCTGGCTGCAGGTGGCAGATGAGACCAAGCGTGTGCTACGCTCGAACTACAATAGGCAGGTTGTTGGTCACATTCCGCAGCTCAGGCTTTGTTGTCAAGATTTGGACGTCGAGTCTTCACACGTGCAGGGCATCAGCCCTCCGACTTTGTACCAGAACTAGGCACCGTGGGCCAACTACAAGAGGCGCAAGTGATCGCAAGCGGTTGCTCAGATCTGTATCAAGACTCACACTCGGCGGACTTCTGGTGGACATCGACTTGCAGGGCGAGGCGGAGGGGATTCCGACTGTTCCAACTTGCCGTTGCTTTCGCACCGTCTTGTTGCAGGAGGTCCGACTCCACACAGATCCTGTTCTCCAGGTCCCTCTTGCATCTTTGCGCGGGTTCTTCCAGCTCCTTCCTTGTCTTTGAGACGCGTAGCTGTTGAGGTTCTGGGACAGTTTATCGGTTTTACAGGGTCGTGGGTGGGTGTTGTATGACTAGTTCTGCAGTGTAGGATTGAAAACTTGCTTGTATCAAGTGCTCCACTTCTGGTCTCCGGAAGCATCAAGCCCGCCTGCTTCAATGAGGCCCAGGACAGGAGGCTTTCTTACAGCCTCAGGGCTGGTTTTGTCCCTACCGGAGCCTCGGCCGCTCTAACTTCATGTCTTCAGCAGTTTCGGGGCTTCAGGTTCTCTTCTCAGCGTGTAGCTAGAAGCCGTGTGTTTCCTTGACTCGATTGGGGCACCCCACTCGGCCACCGCAGTTGGGGGGAAGCGCACACCGCTTCCAGCTCCTTTCTTGTCTTGGAGACGCATAGCTGTTGAGGTTCTGGGACAGTTTATCGGTTTTACAGGGTCGTGGGTGGGTGTTGTATGACTAGTTCTGCAGTGTAGGATTGAAAGCTTGCTTGTATCAAGTGCTCCACTTCTGGTCTCCGGAAGCATCAAGCCCGCCTGCTTCAATGAGGCCCAGGACAGGAGGCTTTCTTACAGCCTCAGGGCTGGTTTTGTCCCTACCGGAGCCTCGGCCGCTCTAACTTCATGTCTTCAGCAGTTTCGGGGCTTCAGGTTCTCTTCTCAGCGTGTAGCTAGAAGCCGTGTGTTTCCTTGACTCGATTGGGGCACCCCACTCGGCCACCGCAGTTGGGGGGAAGCGCACACCGCTTCCAGCTCCTTTCTTGTCTTGGAGACGCATAGCTGTTGAGGTTCTGGGACAGTTTATCGGTTTTACAGGGTCGTGGGTGGGTGTTGTATGACTAGTTCTGCAGTGTAGGATTGAAAACTTGCTTGTATCAAGTGCTCCACTTCTGGTCTCCGGAAGCATCAAGCCCGCCTGCTTCAATGAGGCCCAGGACAGGAGGCTTTCTTACAGCCTCAGGGCTGGTTTTGTCCCTACCGGAGCCTCGGCCGCTCTAACTTCATGTCTTCAGCAGTTTCGGGGCTTCAGGTTCTCTTCTCAGCGTGTAGCTAGAAGCCGTGTGTTTCCTTGACTCGATTGGGGCACCCCACTCGGCCACCGCAGTTGGGGGGAAGCGCACACCGCTTCCAGCTCCTTTCTTGTCTTGGAGACGCATAGCTGTTGAGGTTCTGGGACAGTTTATCGGTTTTACAGGGTCGTGGGTGGGTGTTGTATGACTAGTTCCGCAGTGTAGGGCTGAAAACTTGCGTGTAGCAAATGCAGGATATTGCAGGACACAACGTGGTTTCAATCAGATTGATCGCTGTGGTGGCGACGACGCCGCAGCCTCAGGCCTTGCCAGACCGCACTTTCGGTTCCAAGTTGTCGCTCATTCTCCTGGAGGGCTATTTAGAAAATCTGCTGCGGATGCTGGCCATGACTATCTTCATGTGTTCCGTAAGGGCCAGGCTGGGAATCTGCTGATCAGACGGACGCAAGCCCACGCAGATTGTAACGGTACGTGGTCAAGTATAGGTTGGTGCAGACACGGCGGTGAGCAAGAAGTACGTGCGTATAGGAGCTTACATGTTTAAGTAAGGGTGGGAAGAAGTCCGCAGATTAGACGGAGGGCTCTGTGAACGCAAACCCGTGTGTGAGGGATTGTGAGGGCATATGCTAATCATGACCTCTCAAGGACCCCATTGAGCAGACACGCCTGTCAGTGCAAGTGCACGTGTATAGGAGGCTATTCGCAAAGTCAACGGTGGGAACGAATCCGCTGATCTAGCGCGTTGCGTTGCGTGTTCTAGCTTTTTCGTAAACCAATAAGAGTCCGGCAGACCTTGGTGTAAGAACAAGTGCTTGCGCAGCGGACAGATGTCGCAAAGGCAAGGGTGGGAACGACACCGCTCATCCAAGGGGGGCGGGTTGTGCGGCTTAAACCGGGTTTACTAGGAAGCTGGCTTTTGTACTTGTGGAGATTGGGCGGGGCACTTCTTGCGATTGAAGGTTTTCTGAAGCATTATCGCCAGGAAAGATGAAGAGATGAAGGGGACACTCCTCGCAATTGACGGCTTTCCAGAACCCCCACCCAATGAGAAAGATTGCAAACCCTAGTCTTCAAGAATTTAAGTTTGAGTTCTCCTCCAAAAAGACAAACCGCGCGCTTTGTTCCCCCCGATGGAGCAGGACTTAAAACCAAAAACCTTAGGGACCAGGGCTTGTGATTTGTCCCTCCTTGGAGGAGAACCTGGACTAAAAACTTGAGAGACCAAGGGGGCACACTCCTCGCGAGGGACGGTTTTCCAAAGCATCATCACCAGAACAGATATTGGGGACACCCCTTGCGCTTCAAGGCTGTCTAGAGCACGTCCAGACACGATGAAGGGATTACAGGGACACACGTTGCGATGGACGAAAGCTGAAAGTCTCTCCCTGGAAGGGGAAATGTTCTTCCTACATGGAGGGACCTAGACACAGTCCCTCCATCTTTTCGGACATCCTCCTCACCCTTCCTGTTGATGCTCAATTTTAAGTTTTGCTTCGCAAGGATCTCTTCTCTGAACTCCCGCATCTGTATGTCTATCGGTCCTACTGAGATATGTGGATGCACGAGTCCCTGCTTGGGGGACTCTGTCCTTGTTTTGGAGCATGAGGAGGGTGACTTACCTTTTTCTTTGTGAAAGCTGGGGTGAGGGCCAGATTTCGTTTCTGGAAGGCTGGGGGAGCTCCATCTTTTATTCTTGAGCGTATGCTCTTTTCCGTCTGTTGAGAGGTCATTTCTCCCTTACCAAGAGAAATAGGCGGTCTCTTCTAGCCGATTCAGGGGCAACTGCCTTGTATACTCGGTCGCTCCGTGTACTAGCGCGATGTCTACCCATACATGAAGGTTTTTCGTGCCACTCAAGTTGCCGCATACGTGCAGACACTTTGATTGGTCGATCAGTGTCCAGGTGGCTCTGCCGGTACTTGGGCTAGTTTGGCTTCCCAAACATGTTTAGGTGCAGATAAAGGTGGGAAGGAATCTGCAGATCGATCCGATGGGGAAGGGTGCGATTACAAGCCCATGTGGATATGGCAGTTCGTGTTGACGTATGCTACCAGTGGTAAGGGCTCCTGTGCAGGTGCGGCTGTGAGCACAAGAATGCGTACAGGAGGCTAGTTATGTGCTTTTGTAAATATGATTTCGCAAAGGCATGAAAGGGCGGGAAGGAATCAGTGAGGGGGCGCAGTACATAACTGCAAGTGCATTCGGATATGGTGGTATATAAACCGGCTCCTGTGTTCACGGTTGTTTTGGTAACGTCCCTATCCGTCGCCCCGCTTGCCACGCTTCAGCAGCTTAGGTTTCAAAACTTTATCTCTTCCCCTAGTTTTTGTAGCCTTTAACATGCTTGGGCTGTCAGCACTACTTGGCAGCAGCTGTAAGCCAGACATTGTAGCTCCAGCTGCGTTGCATGGACGACCAGCCAGCGCCGTATTCACTCCAGCTGCACTCAGTGCTTTCCGGCTTGATCGTGAAGTGCGCACTTTCGACCTTCGTGTTGCTGAAGCCCTCGCTTTCTGATCGCACTCGCGGGCTTTGTGATCGCCTGCACGACCTCGAAGCTGAAACAGATAACCCGCTTGTACGGGACAATCCGCCGTGTGGAGGACGAGGTCAAGCAATGTCGATGGTGGCTGGTTCACCTTGCCGATAGGACCACAGCTGTGCAACATGCGGCAGCTTGCATGCGCCCCTGCGTGTGCTGTTGCTTGCACCGGCCGTCACGGGCTTGTAGTTGTAGGTGCACCCTGAAGCATCGTATGATCATGGCAACGATTTCCTTGTAGTTTACTTTTCTTGTCGATTGTTGCAGCCGGCTGCGGCTTGTTCGGTATAGAGACTGAGTTCAGCTCCAGGTGGTTCATGATCTTTTGACCGGTGTTATTTGGTCCTGGGCTGTCCAGCCATGTCCGACATGCCGAAGAAATATGCGTGGCAGACGACTGTACTGCAGGATACCTTGCAATACATTTATTATACAGATATGACTGATATGACTCAGTTGACTCAATGTCGTCGTGCTGGCGCTGGAGCAGATCGGGAACGGCTTTATTCGGCTATAATGCTATAGCCCTGTCCATTCATTCGATATCGCTTAGTTGACTCAATGTCTTCGTGCTTGCGCTGGAGCAAACCGGGAACGGCTTTATTTGGCTATAGCCCTGCCCATTCAATCGGACCCTTGGATACGAGCACCTGGTGCGCAGGATGCAGCTGTCGGGTCGACTCGATTGCAAAATATTCGCTGGAGCCCGGCCGAGATCACTATGTCGCCTCTGATATCTCGGCATGTTGCGGCTACGTTACCGGGTTTGGCGCAACACCTCAGTAAGCTCATGGATTTATCGGTGTCAGATACTTTACTTGAATTTATATTCAAGGTGGCAGGTGCGTTTAAAGCTTTGCACATTACCTTTCACGAAGCACCGGAGATTTGACCTGGGTTTTTTTTTGCAGGCGCAGGGTCCGAAAAGGTCCCGTCTGCACCGACCGTGTCAAGTGCGCTTGTGTGGTTTACGGCTTGGCTTATGAACTACAGAAGCCCAAAGTGTTCTATTTCTGGCAACACTCGAGACTTGGCGATACAAGGGAGTGTTGTCCATCCATATCAGAGAATGAGAAGAGTGTTCTTGCCGAATGTCGGCTGCTGTCGGGATGGCAAAAAAAACATGCTCTATAAGGGAGTGTGGTGGGGCTGCATCGGACTGTAGATATGAAATACGGCGGGAGGCTTCTACCAAGCATGATTCGGCCCAGTGTGTTTTGGGCCTACCTACCCTATTAGGGCCTATTGTGTGGCGGCAGGCTGCTGAGGGCATAAACGTAGACTGGAATTCAAGTGAGTCTGGGTGCCGATATAGGTGTCCTAAGAGGTTCAAGCGATTCTGCGAATACTGTTGAGAAGGAGTGATAACACGTCTGGAGGAGAAGGCCAGCTCTGCAAGATACTGGTTGGAACATGGAGCCGATGACGGGTTGATAACCCTATGGTAATAGGAAGATTTGATCTTAAAGATCCTGCGCAAACACTTGTAATGAATGGAGTCAAGCTTGGTGAGTTGAGGGGGAGTGAGTAGAAGGCTGTCCATCGCATACATCAAAATGGACTGTACAACTGAGCGACAGACCAAGAGCTTCCAATTAGGGGGAAGATGGCCATGTTTCATAAGCGGAGCGAGCTTCTTGGAAGCTTCCATTGCTCATGATATTCGAGTGGAGATGTTGCCATTTTGGCTCAAGTTGCTAAGTTGTTGCCTGTTTGTGAAGTGTCGATTCCTTGAGAATTTTGACAGCGACCGTCTCATGGCTGACGTTTGACGTGTTCTGCATTCTGATGCTGGCTGCAGCGTTCCTGGTGTTCTCGGAGAAGCTGGCGGAACCACATGCCCCTCGTGGATCCCCTCAAAGCGGACGACCGCCAGTCCAAGGGCATGTTCCAGCATTACGCGAAGAAGCCGGTAGCTGCAAGAGTTTGAGTGTAGTGCGGTTTCAGTTTCAATGCTTGTGCTGATTGCCATCAAGCCACACAGCAGCAATATAGCACACCGGTGTGCTGTGCTGCGAATTGTGAGTCTGCAACTTGCTGAAGTGCAAGTTCTTGCTTTCTGTTTTTCAATCTCTGAGGGGCGCCGGTGTGTGCCTAGGTTTGACGCGTGTGCTTTCAGAAGTGAAGGATTTCAACTGCGCTGAGTTGTGAAAGCCTGTGTTGACACTGCTTGCATGCCACGAGTGTGATCTGCCAAATACGGAAGTTGTGTCGTGAATTGTAGGATGCGCGTTTGACTTACGAGTCAATGTTGTGCAATCAAACACTTCCCTGTGGCAGGCAATTGAGCGATCGAGCGCAGACTCGGACGAGTCTACGTCTACAAGCACAGCAGTAGATCCCTGTGTACCAACCCGCGTAATCGAGAGCATGATGTACCCGAACACGTTCGCTGGTCAGGTGCAAGCAGCCGTGGATGCAGGAGTGCCAGGCAAGGCGATTGAAGAGATGGAAGCGCCTGGGGTGTCCTCGCTAGAAACAGCGAGACAAACCTTGGACAGGGGCCTCGTGAGTGAACAGTTGCAGGCGTATCTTCAGGCACTGGTGGCCACTGCCTTCGCTTTTGGTCAGCAAAACCGTAACCGAGGAGCAGTTCGTACCAGGCGGGACCTTCCAGTGCTTCGCCACAGCAGTGGGGGATCCATGCAGAAGGCTCTCGCGGCCGCCCTGCCGCAGAATCGCGAAGCAGCGCTTCGTGAGTTCCGAGATGACATCTGGGCCAGGAGCAACACGAGATCACAGGACTCGCGTTGGAAATCGTGGTGCAAAATTTGCTGGGCGTGGAATGTGTCTGCCCTTAAATCCAGAAGTGATTGAGAAAGTGTCTGCGTCGTTGAAGGCAGGTGGGTACAAGTCAGTGCGCCAATTCTTCAGCAGAGCACGACGCGAGCACATTGTGAGCCTATGCCTTCAAGTACCGCCTGAAGTTGAGCTCGCCATAAAGGATGCAGTTCGATCATTGGAGAGGGGCTTGGGCGGCCCAGCCTTGAAAGAAGCCTTTCGCGCCGAAGACATCAAGATGACAGCGAAGTCGCGCGAAGAATGCAGTGGGGCGGCTCTGTTCGCCTTGGGAATTTGGTTCCTCCTGCGCGAGCTCGAGATTGCAGCACTGAGAGTGAGGGACATAGTGATCGACATTGATCAGAAGACTGTGAGCTTGACGTTGAGTGCGTCCAAGACTGACACAGCCGCGAATTCGGTTGTGCGTACACACAAGTGTTACTGCAGCTTTGTGGACAAGGGGATGTGCCCGTACCATGCGTCGTTGAAGTTTCTGCCCCACATGCCGAAGGACCCCGCGTTGCCATTGTTCTCAGATGGCACGGGCCAGCCTTTGGCCAAAGAGGAAGTCATCAACAGAATTCGGTCAGTCTTGCACGTGAACAAGATTCCGTTGACAAAGCCTGGCATCGCTGGCGCACCTTGCAAGCAGCGGTTTCATTTCCATTGTCTTCGAGTCAGCGGCGCGCAGATGCTTTGCAGATTTGGAGTGCCGCTCAGCACGATCATGCTACTCGGGCGCTGGGGTAGCAAGGCTATCGAACGATATGTGCAGGATGCAGAGCTAGACAACTTCAACATCGTCAAGAGACAGCGAACGGCAGTCGATTTGGAGGATCGAATCAAGGAGCTCGCCGCCAAAGTCGAGGCATTGCAGATCCGGCCCCCGCTAGTAGTTGCGAAGAAAGCCCATGCCCGCGATGAGGGAGAAGCCCACAAACTTCCTCTGTTGTGGAAGTCACGCTGCGGTTGGTCATACGGAGGATCGCATTTTCTCCGAGCCAGCGAACAAGGAGACAAGCCGCTATGCAAGCGGTGCTTTCCGCAGCAAGCAGAGCTAGACACGCCGTCTAGCGATGAATCCGAGGGCTCGGAAACCTCATCTGAATCTGAGGCGAGCTCAGATAGCGAAGCAAGCTAGACAGTGTTGGAAGCCGGCGCGCTGCCAACACGGAGCTCGGATGGACACGGCGTCCCATGTATTATAAAAAGTCACAGATATGAGAATGGCGGGCAGCAAGACGACGCTGGGCACTGTCGTGTTACAAAGCAAAAGATCGTGCGGTGCAACTCGTGTCGAAGCGTGAGGATGTGAGCATGGGTCGCAGCGCTGACAGTGTGAGTGCAAGTTCGATTTTGTGCAAGGTGTCTTGACAGCTGTGCTCTGTCGCGAGATTCTCTTGAGCTTGTGCTGTGAGTAGAGCCTCCCAATCTCTCGTTGTGCGCGCAGGTACACCCTCGAAGCCATGGCAGCAGCCAGTGCCTTCTCAAGCGTGGTGGACGAGACAGGAGCAGGAAAAAAACTTCGAAAGTACTTACAGGCTCGCGCAATCAATGCCACCGCAGTCATGGCAGCCATTGCCGAGACCGTGGAGGAACTCGAGTCCGTGCTTGTCGAGCCGCTTGAAAAGGGTTTCAAGCTGCCCGACGGGCAGAACCTCAAGCTGTCCGCCCTCGAGCTACCGGTGGAGCGAGCTCGGCTGCGACACTTGTGGAGAGCTTGTGTGAAGCTTGTCAATGGCAAGCCCAAGGAACAGGCCGCGGCAGACGCGGCATCATCATCACCCAAAGCAAGCAATGCGACGAGCAAAGTGCCCAAGGAGCTCGCGCCGGGATACTGGCAAGCGCAGTTGCAGAAGTACGAGGCGGTGATCGTTGCGGGTGACGCGCGTGTGTTCCCTCAGCGTCAGATTCTCGGTGCCGAGGCGATCATTGCAAGACTTGCGTATGAGCACAAGACCGCGAGCTACACGGGTTTGGGTCTCCATGAGATCGTGCAGGCACGCTACTTCAACGCCGCGCACGAGCCGAATCCGCTCAATTCGACAAAGAAGAAGGCAAAGGCCGCGACGACCGTCTTGACCTTGACCGAGGATCACAAGTTGGAAGCCGAGGCCGAAGCGCCTTGGGAACCTGCGAGTGTGCTTGCGTTCATCGACTGCTTGAAGGCTATCAAGTATGCGTGGTTGTTCGTGGAGCTGGCCCCGGAAAAGCACATCGTGAAGTACATCGAGTGGTTTGAAAGACAAGTGCGTGCTAGACCTCAGAAAGTTGCGCAGCTACGTGTGTTCTGGGAATCCACGTCTTGGACGTTGGCTTTGGGAATGCGAGCTAAGTGTGCCTTCGCGGACTTGACGCAGGAAATCATGGGGGACATGCAGGCTTTGCAGGACGCGCTCAACCGCGATGCCATTGTCGAGAAGCTCAAGAAGCCCAAGTTCGAGCAGTTGAAGTTCGACCAGGCGACGATCAACGGGACGTACAAAGGAAAGAAGGGAGGCAAGGGCTTTGGCAAGCGCCAAGGTGGCAAGGGATGGAGTGACGACCGGCGTTGGACGCCCTACTACAACCGTCGCTCATCTTGGCATGACTCCGAGTACGACATGCAGCAGAACAGGTGGTGGTCCCAAGGATCTCGCAACTCTCGTGCCGCATCGTGGTGGGGAGAGACGCAGGAACAGAAGGACTAGGGACAGCGCGGGCCACCCGCCGCCGCTCATCAGGCGGGTGGACCCGGCCACATCATTCGCCTGATACCCAACAAGGAGACGTTGTGCCGGGAAGCCGCCGACATGTTCCAAGCCGCGCACACTGACAGGCCTCCGCTCAAACGCAGGCCTCCAGAGCAGCTGCACGCGGCTGACAGCAAACAGCCGCGCAAGTCACCAGTGGACTTCATCTTGTTGAGCTTCTTTGACGGGGTAGCCTCCGCAGGGCTAATCTGCAATCAGATCTTGTCGAAGAAGAAGTACGCATGGAAAGGCTTTGCGTGGGAAACCGACCAAGATCTGGTGTCTTTGTCCAAGCAAAGGTTTCCTGAGATCCAACATCGGGGTGATCTAGACCACGACGACCCAGCCAGTGTGATCCATGCACTTCGTGCCATCGACCCCGAGTCCCGTGCCGTGGTGATCGTAGCAGCCGGGCCACCATGTCCTGATCACAGTCGCATTCGTGCCACGGCCCCAGGTGTTCATGGTTGCGAGGGCTCGAAGTTTCTTCGCTGTGCAGATTTCTTGCAGAAGTTGGAAGCATCATGGGACTACTCGCAGCCCATCCTGGTTGTCGAGAACGTAGTGCCAAGCAACAAGAGCGATGTCAAGCTCTTCGAGCAAAAACTGTCGGCCCAGGCAGTAGTGTGCGACTCTGCAGACCTGGGGGTGATATCGCGTCCGCGCATCTGGTGGACTCGATTGCCATGGCAGGAGCTCAGCAACAGGAAGGACATGCCGGTGACCTTGCGTTGGAGCACATATCAAGGAATTCCCAGAGTTACTTTTGTGCAACCTGCCGACGACTTGCGCAAGTATGACACGGGCAACTTAGAGTGGCCAGCCACGGTTGCGAAGGGAGCGCGGCCTCTTCCTTGCTTGACGACGCCCTCAGACGACCCGGCAGGTCGACCGCCGCCGAGAAGTTGCAAAGGAAAGATAGATTCGCAGACGCAAGCACGTTGGCTTGCGGACAACCGGTGCTATGCCCCTTGGCACTACCAAGAAGACAACAGGTGGATGGACGTCAGCGACAATCGTCGACTTGTGTTAGCAACCGCAGAAATCAAAGAACAGTTGCACCATCTGCCAGTTGGATGGACCAGGGCCCTCGGCAAACAGCAGAGACACAAGGCTATATAGCAAATGGCTGGCATGTTGGCATTGCTAAGTGGTTCTTTGTGCTCGGTGTCTTTTGCGTGCAAGTGCCTTCCTCAGCAATGCCAGTCCGGGGCTAACCGGGTCCTTTCCATTATGGAACCGGGTCCTAGGACTTAGTGTGTTCTTGTCCTAGGACTTATGATGTTGATGTGACATGGAATGTAGCAAGACATGTGTTCTTGTGGCTCAATGGAAGACATGCTGGACATGTGAAAACTTGTGTTCTTGCGGCTCAATGGAAAACAAGACCTGAAAACTTGGTCTCTTCCAAATGGAGATGCATACCTGAAAAACTGTGTTCTTGTCGCTCTATATGGAAGAAGCGAGATGCTGGACATGTATAAAAAGATGTGTGCTTGTGGCTCGATAGAAAAATCAATGCCTGAAACTTGGTTTGATCGAAATGTGAAACATATACATCGAAAAATCAAAGCCCTACTGATATAATTGCCTGTCCCAAGTTTTGTAGTTCACATGGAAATTAAAGTTGCCAAAAAAATGAAAATACGTTTATGCCGAACAAACCAAACAAATGTAACTTGGTGTTCTTGTGGCTCAACGGAAACAAAAAGCTTGAGATTTTGTGTTCTGAAACCCTAAAGTCAGCTGTTTGTACGATTCAGAACAACTTGAAAATTAGCATGTTCATGATTAAACATGAAGGGAATCTGAACTTTCGTAACGTCCAGCCCATGCCCTAAACCCTGAACCCTAAACCCTAAACCCACCCAACCCCCAAACCCGCCCACCCATTCAAGCCCAGAAGCTGCAGGTAGGAAGGGGCACACAGGTAGGTAGAGAGGTATAGTTAGGTAGGCAAGTAGGTATGGATAAGTAGATAGGCAGGAGGGAAGGTACTTGTAGGTGTAGGTGCGTCGGCAGGCTTCCAGGTCGGTAGGTAGGTAGATAGATAGCTAGGTAGGCGGGCATGTAGGTAAGGAGGCATTATGAGGAAAGAGGTTTAAAACCCCTAAACCCCTAACCCCTAAACCCTGAACCCTAAATCCAAAACCCGAAACCCTAAACTAACCTTCAACCCTAAAAGGTAGCAGGCAAAAGTAGTTGTAGGCATTCGTGCAGGCCCTGTCAGGATGTCAGGTGGCCACATCAAGGTCTTCGGAGCCCCGTACAGGGGCGTACCCGCGCCAAGGCCTGAATGGGCCGCGGGATGAACCCCGAATAGGGGTGAGCTTGGACCCCGAAGAGGGGTCGTCGGAGCCCCGTACAGGGGCGTACCCGCACCAAGGCCGAAAGGGCTGCGGGATGAACCCCGAAAAGGGGTGAGCCTGGACCCCGAACAGGGGTCGTGAGAACCCCGTGCAGGGGTGTGGATGAACCCCGAACAGGGGTGAGCTTGGACCCCGAACAGGGGTCGTTAGAGCCCCGCACAGGGGCGTACCGATGAACCCCGAAAAGGGGTGAGCCTGGACCCCGAACAGGGGTCGTGAGAACCCCATGCAGGGGTGTGGATGAACCGCGAACAGGGGTGAGGATGAACCCCGAGCAGGGGTGAGCCGGACCCTCAAAGACTGATGCAGAGAGAGAGAGAGGGAGAGAGAGAGAGACACAGCGAAAATAATTAACGAAGCAAGGAAGGAAGCAAGGAAGGAAGGAAGCAGGGAAGGAAGAAGGAATGATCAAGATGAGGGTGTGACTGTAGATGCGAGGAATGAGCAGGCAGCAAGGAGTGATGTGAGGGAGGCGGGAAGGGAAGGAAGAGAAGGAAAGTCATGCATGGCATCAGTATCCCTCTGCTCACTTTCAGTCTGTCGGCGGCCAGGCTGAGACAGTCTGCGCATCGAGATCCTCGAAGAGCCCCGGCCTAAGCCACACGGCCTTCCAAGACTTGACGGCTGCACCATGGGTTGCTTCCAAGCTCAACATGTTGAACTGCAGCAGCTTTTCAGCTCAAGATTCAACGCGATCGAACCGTTTTTGTCTGAGCGAGTGTACTCCGACTGAGGCGATTGTCCTCATGCAAACAAGGCAGTATTATTGACATGCGCATACACGCAGATCGTCAAAGACACGACTAGGAAAGAAGTGCCCCAGTTCGACGTACTGCCACGGAAGTGCAGCAATGGATCGAACGGATTTTGGCAGGCTTCATGGACCTGAAGGAAGTGACGATGACGATCGAACGACTCCTTATCATTCGGATGATAGCGATGGTTCCGCGGCCGATGCCACTACGGAAATGGAAAGAAACATGGTTACGAGAGAAGAATTCCAGCGAATCTGCACCGACCTGGTGCTGGGATGTGTCATGATGAACTTGTCAATGGGATGGCAAATGGAGCGGGCTTTTTTGAGCGATCGGCAACTACGAAGTTTGCTACAGCACTTCCAAACCAAGCACAACAGACGCGGATCCTCTGCAGGTGATATTGTGGAAGCAGGTGTACAGGAACGGATTCCAACAATGCAGAAAGTACTCATGGTTCGACAATGCGACGTACTCCAAGGAAAGTTGCGAATGGAAGTGAACCCGGTAGATGCAGAGAGATTGCGGGGCTTGGTTGAGCAGCCTCCCGGATGGGATTGGGATTTGCCTGATCGAGGAACCATGGAAAGGCTTTGCGAGGGCATTCTGGCCAACTCGTTTGAGTTTGAACGGATTCCAGTGACGGATGCTAGACGGATGGCAGTTCAATACTGCGAGGTCATCCGTCCACTGTTCGCTGTGAGATTCCTGTCAATGGTGTTGCTGGGCATGCGGGACACGTACAGAGATCAGCTTTGGTTTCTGCTTCGCAGGCATGGAAGAGTCCTCAACGTATAGACGGACTGTACGTATACGCAGTCTCCGAAAAACTTAAAGGGACTGATGTACGGATACACAGTCTCACAATAAACCAGCAATGGCGAGAAAAAACGTGTCACTTGCTTAACAAATTGCTTGACGCGCCTTACTAAATTGCTGGACCTAAACCCTGAACTCGTCGACCTGAGGTCAGGCCTTCTTCTTCGCTGGCAAGATCGACATTGTGTTTGGAGGCTCGAAAGCGAAAGTCTGTCTTTAGGCGTGCTCATGTTTGCATAAACCCTAAACCCTATCAACATCCGGCCGGTACCACTACAAGATTGCGCCCCCGGTGCGCCGGGCGCGCACACCTGTACACGTTGCAAGCAGACTAAAGAATTGTATTATTATTTTACGGAACGGATGTTTTTCAGTGAAGCATTCAATTCACATGTAGAGCAGCGCGCCCGGCGCGCCCGGCGCGCACCCGCTGCGCGCCCGGCGCGCGTACTCCTGGGTATATTTGGTGCTGTATACATGTGAGTTGAATGCTTCATTGAAATAAACATTCATCCGTTGCGCATAATAGTCATGAGTCGTAATCATACAATTTTCTAGTCTGCTTTGCCTACAGGTCGTGTGTATTGCAATGAAGCATTCAATTCACATGTACAGCTGCGCGCCCGGCGCGCGTACGCCTGTGCGCGCGGCCCGCGTACGCCTGTGCGCCAAGCGCGCGCCGGACGCGCGCCGGGCGCGCGCCAGGCGAGCACCGAGCGCGCAGCTGTACATGGCCGTCGCAAGCAGAATATGGAATAGTGTAAATAATATACGACACGCGTACGCTTCACGCGCACGCCGGGCGCGCGCCGGGCGCGCGCCAGGCGCGCAGCTGTACATGTGAATTGAATGCTTCATTGCAATAAACACGACCTGTAGGCAAAGCAGACTAGAAAATTGTATTATTATGACTATTGTGCGCAACGGATGAATGTTTATTTCAATGAATCATTCACCTCACATGTACAGCTGCGCGCCCGGCGCGTACTCCTGGGTATTTATGGTTTTGGGAAGTTTACCGCCCGCCATGCGTGCTCCTGCGCGCCCGTCGCGCGTACGCATGCACGACCCGCCGCGCACACATCCGTAAATTCATGTCGCAAGCAGAATAATATTAACGAATTAATAAGTGTAAATATACTACACAGTACACTCACGCGTACGCTTCGCACGTACGCCTGCGCGCCTGCGAGCCCGGCGCGCGCATGCGTAACGCAAGCAGAATATCCAACAGTTATTTACTACGATTATTATAAAGAAATTCAGTGAGACCAAAGTGCCTGTTTGACAGGTGCGCCCGGCGAGTGCACCTACACCCTGTGGCGCAGACACAGGTTCAAGGCATCAACTGCAGAGCTTACCTACATACAAAGCCATGAAAGCCATGAAGGCCAAGAAGGCCAAGAAGGCCGCCAAGCAGGATGGCAACACGAGGGCAATGAAAGCCATGAAAGCAATGAAGGCGGCCAAGGTCCAACACAACGACGGCAATGTGAGGGCAATGAAAGCGATGAAAGCAAAGAAGGGTCAGCAGCGATCGGGTCAAAGTGGCTGGCAAGCATGGCGAAAAAAGCAGCGTTCTGCTGAGAAGCAAGCTGTACTACATGCGCAGGCACCTGAAGGCGAAGAGGACAACCCGGACAACACGGACAACACGGACAACGAGCAGGAGCTGCCCGGCAACGAGAAAGCCACGCAAACACCTCCGATTATCAGACGTTTGCGAAGAGCACGTGACATTGAGGATCGCTTGAATTGCTTTGTGTCGGCATGCAAATACTTTCGTGTCGACATAGGCATGCTGGTCAGTATGGTTAGTGTGATCACGACAGGACCTGCGACTGGAAGGATATGATTCCTGGCCCAGCAACCGTACCCGGGCTATCATTGGGAAGACTTTATTCTGCTCGTGGGCCGTTTTCTCAGAAATTATCGCTGATGCGGACCAACGGTCTGATTCGAGGTCGCGCGGTGATGGATTTAGGAAGCAACGAAGCATTAGACCTGGGCGGCTGCCTGATCTACAGACCGGCCGTGACAGGCCTCCGGTGAGTGGTGTTGCCGCAGTGACTGGTATGTATTACTGACGTTACATAGATCTGAGAAGTTCACCTAAAGAAGTAGAGGAAACTGTCACGGATGAGCGACAACGGATTCAGGGACAGTCTTTATAAGGACA